TGAGGTAACGCGGCCGCCATTTCCTCCGGCCCCCGCTTGCTGGCGAGGACGGGACTGCATGAGGGGTCGCCTCTTCCGGCCGGCCCCGGGGACCGCGGCCGCTGCCCTGCCGTCGCTCTCCCGCCCCGCTTCGGCTAGTATGACAAAAAAATAAGCGTTACTGCTAAAAAACGGAAATGGATTCCTGAATCCACTCTGAAACCAGCCTGAATGTCCTCAGTCGGGTGTCGAGGAAAGTGCCAGATGGGTGCACCGAGACTAAAATCATCTGTGAAGATACCAGAAGACGGTTACAGTGGTGTGAAGCGTGAGACTAAACACACACTGCATAGTTGGGGCAGAAAAACGAGTTTTGATTGCGATTCATGGCAGCAGCTAGGGCCCACCCGGCCATATTTGCTTCAGACTGCCTTGCAGAAAGGTGCCCATCCCCTCATCACCAAAAAATGGGCAGCAGTTTTCAACGCATGCTAGACAGATGATCCCTTCCAAAATACAGCTCTAAAGGCCATTAAATAGAACAATGATGGATGATAAAACTAATCTAGACACAAAGCTGTGTTTGAAGACCTGTGGCCGCCCTTAATAGCGATGTACGCATCATCCACACCTCATCTGGTAGTTGCTAAGAGGGGCTTGAGCTCACCAGAGCAGAAGCATCCTTGGCAAGACCTGGGCAAGAGCCTGCGCTGGCCATGGCTGCTGGCATGCCTCCCACCAGTTATCAGCACTATAGGAGACCCTGGGCAGCCATCACGGGGCTGTCAGGTCAGCGTACAGGTAGCAGTGAAGCGTATGCGACACTCATCAAAGCCAGAAAGGAACAGGCACCTGGCAGCCTTTGCCCCCAGAGCTGGAGGGCCTTGCTTTCACACTCAAACCTACTTTCTGCTTTCTTCTATCAGGGGATGTGCAAAAGAGGGTTCAAGTGCTTAGGGAGCCTCATCAACCTTCTTGTTCAAGCAGATGCAAATCTAAAGGTAGTATTGAGAGAATTAAACAAAATGCTGAGGCATCTCACAGCCAGCTAAATGCACCAACAAGCAGCTTAGCACCCAAAGTACAAAGACACAGTTGCTTCGTATCCTGATCCAGCTGAAAGACTAAGACAAAGTCAGCAATAGCTAACTTTAGCCCATTGTATGTGGGGTTCAAAAGGCATTTATATATGCAGTTAGAAGCAGCATAGCTACTGACAAAAGATCTAGTAAAATGAAAACTATTCTATAAAAATTGTTCTTATGCAGTTTCATCAGTGGTTGTTCCTGTTTTATTAAACCTTATTTTTTAAGTCTTGTTTTGTTTCCTCTGATCTACTTTATTTTGCAAACACTTAAGCTAAAATGAACGACGTCAGAAAAAAATAAGCAGTTGGGTAGAAAGCTTCAGAAGAAATGTCAAACTACCAGAGGATTCACATGCTTTGGAGAGGTGTGTGTACGTGCATGCATAAAAGCATTATTTATTTTCAAGACTGCATTACATCACATTAGTGGTAAAATAAGATTTACTCATGCTTTATATGCTTCCTTTGCATCATTTATCGAGAACCTACTACAAGTCTGGTGAATGATAGAAGACAGATTAATCATGGTTCTAGGCAATCTATTTTCACTTAACTTCTCACACTGGCTCAAAGTGCTGGTGTCCATTGTTTCAGCGATCCACATAGTGAAAATGAATAGCACACTTGAACAGAAAAAGATATTTTTGCTCTGAAATAAGAGCAAGTAGGAAGCCTGATGCTTTGGAGAAAGAAAAACAGTAGTTCCTTCCTTACTGCTGATTTGCAGATGGTGCATGGTAAGGGAGGATGTTGGATAAAGAAATTTGAGCTGTGCTAGGCATAGGACTGAGGTTAAAGGAGGGGAAGCGAATGTGCACAGCACAGGAAGGTCTTACTGGAAAGATATCAAACATTACAGTAACAAGATCCATAAAGTGCCTCAAAGATCTGAATGACATGATTGTATCAGCTTTATGGAACCTACATTTACTAGGTTTACTGCCTGGTTGCTAAAATGAAAAAAATCAGCCGTGGGAGGAACTCTTAACTGTCAGTACCATATCCTTCCCTTCTAGCATCCTTGCCAATTCTGATGGTTTTGCCTGTCTTTCAATTAAATAACAATTTAAAATGTGGATTAAAGACTTGCAGTGTACCATAGAGTGCTCAGTCTCAATGCAGTCAAAAGCAAAAGGTAAATATGAAGGTGACTATTGGTAGGAGTTGGAGAAGGGAGGACTGATAAAAAATACCAGAATTCTTTTTCTTCCTTAATTTCTTATGGTTGAAAAACAATGGCAAGGGTGTTTGCCTGTAGATGTTACTGACATTTGTAATTGGGGCAGGGCAGACAAGACTTGTGTGTCAAGACTGCTTCTTTAGAATTTGCTGATGGGAACATTCTGCTCAAGTGGATTGATAAAAACCCTGAAGTCCCAGGAGCTTCACAGACCATTTGTGCTGAGGTACAAAAGATCTTTAAATTCTGGTTACAGAATTATTTGAAAGTGTACACTGATCTACTTCTCAAATACATTACGTTTCTTCATCTTCCACAGGCTTAGAAAGCAGGAAAATGTGTGTCAGAACTGGATGACTTGTCTTTTTCTTGCTTGCTTCTTCTGAACTATTTCCATAGAAACTTTGGCTTCATACAATGGGATCGGTTCATCCAGCTGAGGCCTAAAATGGAACAGTATGTCAGAAATGTCTGGTGAGCATGCTCAGACCAACAGAAATATTGCAGAACTACTGCTGTAGACTTTACTTTCACTATGTAAACTTCACTCTTTAAACAAAATAAAAGTTTTATAGCTTTGCTTGGGTTCACAGAAGAAGGGAAGAGCCCTAAAGCAAACAGGAAACAGAAGTTAATTAAAAGATATCCTTCTTACACGGGGAAAAAGGTGGTGGTGGTGGTGAGGCTTTTGCTCAACAGTAATACTGTTATCCTGCATTAAGAGAAAGGATATTCCATTCCCACCTCATTATGGGAGTCTTCATATCTAGTGAAGCTGTCACTCTTCTCAGAGGAGTATTAGACAAACCTAACGACTTTTAGAGCCAACACCATTTCTCAATCAGCCACACTGCCGAGCAGCCAGATATATGCTCTTCTGCCACCAAGAAAAGAATCTGCTGCCTCTCTTAAATTTTGATATACAGCATACAAATTTCCTTGTGCTTAGCCTGCTATATTACAGACAGAAATAGACCATAAACTGCTCCATATAAACTATGTGAGGCATCTTTTTCTGAGCATCCCAATATAAATTTGCAGTACAGTGCTGGCAAGAATTTTCTACTTCTAATGCTGTATTAAAAAAAAAAAAAAAAAAAATCACACCTCTCACCTGAAAATGCTACTTGATAATTTCTCCATTATATCTTCTAAGATGGGTACCAACGAGGACTGTCAAGGTAACAACGTATCTAGAGATAAATCTTTCTATAATCATGTTTGCTGGCAAGAGCCCTGTACTGATACAAAACCAGCAGGATTGCGGCAAAAATAAAAATTTACCTTAATTACAATCTTTAGATCAGATTTACTCACTTTTTTTTGTATCAGAAACCTCCTTTCCTGAAATAGTATGCAGAAATGAAATATGGAAAATAGAATTTTGAAAAATAAAGCAAAATGGTTAAGATTGATAAATGCAGCCTGCACTCGTACAACATTAATCAATCGGAATGGCAACGGCATTTTTTGTGCAGCATGAAGATGACAGACTTTGGTACCAGTTAACTATCCCTACTATTTATACAGACATCTGAGGTAAAAATCAAAATAAAACTGGGAACATAGAGTCTGTAAATTTTTGGAGCACCACTGTGCATCTGTAAGGGATCTTGGAGTTAACGACTAACATTCATGACAACACAACAGATGAGGCTGTATTTAGTCTTTATATGAAACTCAAAAAATAATGTTCCTTCATTTTAAGAGCAATCAGGTTAATATTTGAAGCTCAAGCCGTTTTAAAAAGTAATCGCCTTGCAATTTCTTCAGATGATATTAATGCCATATGCTCAAGAATTTCACAAGATGTACAGATAAAAACAAAACCAAGCAGATTTTTCCTTTCAACTTTAAAGCCTGTTGTGATAAAACATGCTGCTGTTATTAAAGATACCCCAGGAGACAACAGAAGAAATCTCATTGTTTAGCAGCTTACTTTTTGTATGTGGATCACTACTCAGTAAGCATTCAACAAAAATACCAAACTATAAAACAATTCATGATAACCTGCATCCCATAAGTATGTCCTTAGTGTGCCTGACCTTGCCTAATCTACTTTGCAGTTCAGTGGAGGAGGGGAGGACTTCCTTGCAGTCTAGTTAGTCGTTTCACAAATACAATGACTTAATCTTCACCTGCCTCTGCTGTTCTGCTAAACTGCAAAAGTGATTCAGCAGATCTCATAATCTGCAGTGCAGTACAGAACAGGGAGGGTCCTTAAAGCCGTAAACAGACAAACCTTCCATTACTTGAAGTGATCCACTGAAAACTGTCATGCTGTTAGAAAGCTCAGAGCCCAGCTGCTTAAGACCAAATGTAGGTAATGCAAATGAAGGAGACCTTCCTCTTCCCACATCCACATCTTTGCTCAATAAATTTTATGTATGTAACATTGCAAATAAGGAAAAGGTTATGAAGCCAAAATATTTTAATTTTTATGTTTAAAGTGATTGCATTAAGATTTACAGATGATGCACCTACTGCCCAAAAGAAAAAAAAAATTTCCAAAATGTCATATACATAATATAAAACCTTATAGAATCAAATCTTCAATTAATTGGTTCAATTTTGAGCCAAAACATTGCAGTTTCTCTAGAATGTGTGTTTTGAATTTCAGCACTGCTTTTAATGATGCAGGTAGAGACATATATTTAGAGGGCATGCAGAGACTAGCTTAGAACATACGTGTATGTTATATTTTAGTTACACTGTATGCTTAGTTGTGCTGACCTTTAAGCCTGTGGTTATATGACTGAGTAGAAGCAAATCTGTTAGTTGGTTTCTCGGTTTTGTTTCCATCCACTCCTATTAGCAGTCAGTATTCAAAGCAACCATCAAAAGGATATAGAGATACTTCCCTTGCTGTTTATTGGACAAATTCCATATTTCATCATTCAGAAAGGAGACTGTGGCTCCTTTAAGAAACAACAAATGGCTATCTGGAGGATCCAGCTTAAACAAAATAAAGAAAAATGATATTTAGTTGTATTTTCTCATTGGAAAAAAAAAAAGGTTAGATGATTATTTTATATTGATGGTTAAAAACCCAAACGAGACAAAAAACCCACCCCTTGCCCATTCTTAAAACTTAGCAAAATTATAAAATTTACGGTTTTAAATGATGCTTTTCTCTCTCCTCAAATAGTTTAATACCCTAAGCCAGACAAAATAGGTCCTTTAAAATTTGTCAGTATAGCCAAGCTATTAAAATAACATACTATCACTTTAGAGAAGCCAGCCCCAAAATTGTCCTAAAGGAAAACAAAAATATTTATTTTTAATGCTATATACTTCCCATTTTCTGGATGTGAAAGTTTTCTTAAGTGAAAACTGATGTTAATTTAACAGTGGGGAGCCATTCAGCCAGACAGAAGCTCACAGACACATACACACACACAAACACACAAAACCACACTGTGGTACAAACTAACTTACTGACACAGTATCTTTACCTGAAGATTTTTTTCTGTTGTTATCCAGTGTCCCCCAACACCAAGAAGAGTAATGATATCATGCTTGTGAGGCAGCAACTGGGATTTTGAAGTTGATTCATCTTCAGCACTATATAATTTCACTGAAGGGGTGGAGGGGAGAACAAATTCATTTGAACTCAGAAGAAAATTCTGTTCAGAATGAAAAGTATCTCCTCTTGTACTGAAAACCACATATCTTGGGATTCTTTACAGTCCTATGCCTTCAGATACAAATGATTGCAATATATACATATGAATACACACAATGAAAGATGGTTGTCTGGAACAGCACTACAATTAAATTATCCTGTTAGTCACATGAGACTATCTGAAAAAGTAGAAGATTTAGGGGATTCAATATATATTTCTTTTAACAGATTTCAGTGGAACTCTAATGTTCTTCAATTATTTCAGCTAAAAATAGTAACTTCTGGCTTTCAACTATTACGGTTGTTTTAGAATACAGGTTGACAGTACTGGTGATTATGCCATCATATTTGTATTAAAATAAGGTAGCACAAACAATGATGTCACAGCTGTACTCTCTAAACACATTTTTTTCTTTTCAGTTTTAAACAGGAAGATTTCAGACAAATTTAGCAGATGACTAACAGTATTAGATGCTTCCACTAGAGGGTGATATGAGGAGATCTTAAAGACATCTTGCTTAAGGATATCTACTGAGTAAAAATACATACATAAAATTGTATGGCAATAAGCAATTAAAGGTAATCGTTTGAAGTGGTGCAGCCTCCACCTATATTACTTGGAAATAATATGAAAACCCAAAAACCAACCCACTAATGGTGCCCTGAAGACCAGATTTTCATCAGTTACATACCTCCAGCATCTAGAACAATATCCACTCCCAGGCCACCCGTTTCCTCCAAGCAGCTTTCTGCCACATCTATCTTTCCATTTGACACATCTATTACTCGAGCTAGAAAGAGCAGTACATTTGGTCAATTACAATAAAAATGTAGAGTTTAGATTGAGAGCAGAGCAGAAAATTTCTAGTTTCTGAAAGTATTACAAGGAAGTTTGCATCTAAGTCAAAAAACCTAGCCAATAGTTTTTTCATTTTCCAATACAGCGCAAGATCAACATGAAAAGTATGCATTAGTTTAATTCAGAAGTAAAACTCACAAGTCTATTTAGGCCAAAAATGATAAAGTATGCTACTGTAAGAATTAGAAATTCTTCTGTGAATTCATTCTTTGCTATTTTTCTTTTCCAAAAGTGCCTTCAAAAATACCAAGTTCTAGCCATGTTATTGAAGCAAAAGAGAGTGGCCAAAAGATAAGGAGGCAACTTATTTCACCTCTCCCAACTTTCAAATTATCTATCAAATAACCAGAGCAGTAATGCTTTGGGAGAGTTTTCCAAGCATAGCTTTCTTCCCTTATTTGTTCCCTTCCACACAAAACCCACCACTTCCTGCCAGTCCCTTCTTTTGCTTCTACATGATAGTGGGAAACAACCTATTCTCCCTGGCATGGAGCCCTGTCTCCCAGTGCAAGACAGAGGTAAACATGTAAAAACACAGTAAATACACTCACTTACAAGGGACTGACTTGACTTTTCTTATGATTCCAGCAAGTTTTTTAATCTTATTATAGCCATCTTTTCTTTAAAGTAATGGTTAGTTGCATTGTTACTTATCTCACAGCATGGAAAAACTTATTAATATACTACTTTCTGTGTGATGTTTTTAACCTCTAAATGGCTCCCTGGGTCATTAAATAAATATTTAGATGGAAGTATTTACATCTCCTCTTGAAATATTTCTGAGCTGGAATTCACTAAGACATTTTCTTCTCATCTGTCTGTGATACCATATTTATAGATGATTATAAAGATAAACCACTGCATCAGGAATAACTGGGGCAGAGAAGTAGCAGCTAAGGTTTTTTGGTTTGTTTCGTAATTATGAGGTAGAACAAACATTTAGAAACTAAACAGGCCAAAGACTTCTCAGCAAAATGATAATTGAAATAATGTCAAATAAATTTGGAGGCACATTTCCAAAGCATAATCGATTAAACTCAAATTTGCAATGTGTACTTACCCACTAGAGGCTGCCGTATACCTTCTTGAATTTAATCACGGGGTGGGAAGGAAGAAGAAAAATTTCAAGAAACTGGTCATTAAGAAGAATATTAGCAAACACTCAGTTAATGCTTTGTGGTTTGTTTTTTTTTTCCTTCCAATCAAATCATAAGTTACATTCAAAATCTTAGGTCAATCATTCATTTTTTTCACTGAAGTCTGGCTAAAGAGAACGTATTAATAAAGATGTCACTTAATAATGACAGTCACATTCCCCATCTGCAAATACAGCCTCATAATATCCTTTTCTTCCTAGTTTCTTAGATCAAGAAGTTGAAAGTTTTTTCTTAACACAGCAATTTGGCATGGTATAAAGTTTCTGCAAATAGTTTCACTTTTTGAGAATAATGCTGATTTAATAGACTCAAAGCCTGTCTACCAAAAAGAAAGGCAATAGTTTAGTCAGTTTAACTATTTTCTGATTTCTGTTTAGCAAAAATTTCCAGTTTTGTTACTTAACTCAGTACAATAGTTCAAACAGTACTCATCAAAATGCTGTTCAATTTCCTTCCTGGCGAAATGCTGTAACAATTTAGCTCCACTGTGGAAAAGGCTGAGCAACAAATTATAATATAATTTTATATAATCCTTTTTCATTTATGCAAAATTTCTCACAAAACATTTGTAAATTGGTTCAGTTTCTTCTTCTGTGACTTGCACAACTTCTAATATAACATTATGCTGTCTGGCAGAAAGACTTCAGTTCCTCTGTTCTTTCACTATTGGGGAGAAGTAGAAATACCAGTATTTCCACAACTTGCTACCAGAGTTTACTCTCACACAGTAAGTTCAGCTATGGAGTTTAAAAACTGTCACATGAAAGATCTGCTACTTGGTTTATTGAACATGCTTAAGACAGCCATGAAATCACCGATGAGTTCTTACCAGAAACATATCCACTGAAAGCTCAATTTTGGTTTTAAAGAAAGAAAACAAACAACAAACCAAACCAAGAAAAGAGGAAGGTAACGCAGGGAACAGAAGAAATATATACGTGTATATATATTTTTTTATTCTGTTCTCTAACAGAAACTCATCACATTATTTATGTAATGTTCTGTCTCTAGTCTGAAACATGGGCATTAAAATGTCAAAATCCATTATAATCCTCTCCTTCGTACTATTATTATATTTACTCCAGGGATTACTGAAGACATGCAAAGACCCCATCCTGTTGCTCTAAATATGAATTCTTAAACATTAACAGGAACTTCTACTCCAGGCACTGGAATCATACTTATTAAAAAAACCTAAAAATGCTAAAACAGTGGCTTTTTGCTTTCACACTCAAACTGTTTCTCTTTTTAATGCTGTACCCAGGTTATATCTCTTTAATCTGAAGCAAAGTTGCAATTAAAATTCCCTCCCTCCCCAATGTTTATGTTCCATAAACATTTGCAAAACTGCTAAACTCCTATTGTTGTAAAATAAGCACATACATGAGCAATATAAGCAATGGCCTTTTAACCGCAAGAGGTGGTTATTGCAGCCATTTTTTGAAGCAGCTAGTTATGCTACACACTGATACACAAACTGCTGCTCATTGACAAGTGATAGACTCTTGCTAAAAACTAAAAAAACCCACTAAACAAGCACAAAACTGAAAAAGCCTGCACCCACAGACATTAGAAGCCAGCTTAGATATAGCTAGTCATGCTTAGGTTACTTAGAGCATTTATTTTATATTAACATTCATATAACTTAAAAATGCCAGCAAGAAGTAAATGCGCCAAGCAACCCAAAGCTATATTCATATGTCCTGACAGGGCTATGATAATAAATAAATTGCAAAGTCCTTTCGTAGCTAATAAAGTTCTCCTATCATTAACAAAATATACCAATAAAATATCACAAAGCAAAGTTTTAGGTCTTCTGTATTTACTCTTTTGCCCTGTAACAGCTGGCATAACAAACCTCTATGTATCAGCAGCATTCACAAAAATGCTTTATGTTCAGATTTCTGCATTGTCTACTATTACAGTAAAAAAAGACTTCTAAGGAAAAAATAGCTTTTTTATGAAGTTGCTAAAAAATAGAGGTAATATAAAAATCTAGAGAGAGATGTAAGTCTGCCATGTCTTAGAAGAAATGGTTATGTTCCCAACACAAAACTTTGCAGTTACCCATTGATGATCATTAAGATCAGACAGCACAAATGTCTTTCTCCCTGCTCTTGTGTAATAACCTCTGCACAGCACTCCACTTCCTGCTGCATTATCAGCACTCCAAAGCCACTACTGGAAGAGCTACTTAAATGCTCACTTGGTAGGCTGGAAGTGAATCACTCCCCAAGACTGCAGATGTGTGTGAACGTGCAGAACCCAGAATGCACATGCACACTGTGTTGTCTCTGTGCTTCCACGGCCAGTTGTGTTCTCGGCAGCCCAAAAGGAATTAAAATTGACAAGAACTCTGTTCTCTCTGTGTCTAAAGAGCAGCTCTCTGGCTTATTTCATCCCTCAGCTAGCTTGCTATTCTTGAGCCAGCAGGGAGAACACAAGGACAATACTATGTGCACCTGCATATCAGCAATGCCTGATTTTACTAAGTCAGTAAGAACAAGAGAGGAGATTTGAAAACTGCTCTGATTCTCCATTTGGAAAGTCAAGATTGCTAACAATATTACTATACAAAACAACAAAACAGAAAGGAGTCAGAGTCAGGGACAGTTAACCTTGACATTATCTTTTTAATCAGATCTCATCTTAACCCATATATATGTTGATTGATGCGACTGTAATGTCAACATGATAACTGACTACAAAATGCTTTCCCCATGAAGATACTTGTACAAGGGGCACAGCTACTCTTACTTACACTTCTTTGAATGACAAAAAAAAAATCATACACTGAAAAATAAACTTGGTGATTATACTGGGGCAGTCTCCTCATTTTGAGGAAAAAGTATCAGAGACTAATTTTAACCTTTTGTTCACGGTACAGCAGAGTTCATGGACTGCAGTCAAACTAGACTTCGCAATGCCATTTTAGAACTGTCTGAATAAAGAAATATTCTACTTTCCTCCACTCTGCAGCACTGGAATAAGAAAAAGTTTAATCAGGAAAGATACTAGTAGCTTTTACATAGAGTCTTTTCCCATGGTCCAAATATCACTGTTCCTTTGAGGGAAAAACCCCCAAAAACTTAAGTATCAAAGAGAAGAAATGGAAGAAGTTAGAGACGAATGCAAGTATTATGTCTAATGCTCATTTGGAAAATAGGAAAATGCAGAGCGTTTGAGCATCCAATTTGAGCATCCAACTACAGTTATGAGAGTACTTGAAGGTGAGCTGCCACACAGCTTGATAAAATACTATTAGAAGTAATTTGAATCTGATGAATACTGTATCTCAAGTATATGATTACATCTGAATCCTGGCTCAGGTACCTAGATTACATACTGTGATACTGGTGATTTAGTAATGCTTTCTTCTTGTTCACAAGCAACAATTTTATAAAATGAAAAGACTTTCTGAGTAGTTAGGCCAAAAGCCAGCACTCAAGCGTTATCGTGTGAGATGGAAAATACTGAAAGACAGTAATCACAACTTAAATGAAAAATAAAAATGCCATTAAATACACCTAAAAATATAAATTAAATACCTATGAACAGAATAGATTTTAAAACTATTTAATAGACTATTTATAAATTTGTATTTCAGTTTTCAGCTACTGAAATAAGTCCCTAGACTTAAAAAAAAAAAAAATTCAAGACATTCTTTAGCATAAACTTTATCACTGACAAATATAACTTACCCACAGGAGGTCTAAGCCTCTCCAGGTACTGCTTATCTTCAAGACTGTATGCAGTAGAGATTACTCTAGCTCCTCTATGTTGTGCTAACTGAATAGCTATTGTGCCGAATGGCTGCAGAAGAAAAAAGGTAGATGAATTTATTTACAGCAACAATTTGAAGCAGCCTAAGAAAGATTATATTGCAAAGGGCATTCAGGAAATGTCAGGAGAGTACCCAGAAATGAATTTACTCCTTCAACAGAACACATCTGAACCAAGAATTTGAATATTCACAGATCTGCTTCTCTTCCAAGTGAGGCCAAAAAAATATTTTCATTGACTGGGAAGCTCTGAACAAACTTTTAGGAGTTAACTAGTTCTTCTCTTCAACAAAATAGCTCAGATTTGACTTTAAGTAACACAAGTACCATAACTGCAATTGCAACTTGTAGCTTTGGGCTTGGTTGCTTGTTGAAGGAAGAAGTGTTACCAAGGAAAAAGCCCCAGCCACATTTACGAATCTTGGCTGTGGCAAGCTCTACATCTTCATTAGCAATAAAGATTGCAGTAATGCAAATGAAATTATTTATATCTAAGAGAAGTTAAAAAGCAGTGGTGGGAAAGGAATAAAAAACTAAGGCACTTTCCTCCAGTTATACCTGAGGGCTTAGGGTAAAACTATGTCAATGTAAAACACCAGAAAAGAACTACCTCTTCACTACCCAGATGACATGTAAAGGACTGTATTCTTGGCTCAGTATCTTATGTGGGAGGGCTTTTCCTATTAATCCATCAAGGGCACTGCCAGAAGTAAAATACAAGGCTTGATAAGTTTTGTGTGTTGTAAGAAATCCAGCTGTTCCAGTGATAAGACAGTTATTTATGGTGGAGGCAATCTTTCTGTTCTGAAATTGTTATTATTGCATAGTTGTTACTTACACTTGCTCCATCCATTACAAGGACAGTTTTTCCAGGAGAGACTTGGGAAAGGTAGTGTAAAGCTGTGTATGCTTGGACACCGTCACGAACAGTCCCAGCTGCTTCAACCCAACAAACTTTTTCTGGTTTACGAACTAATTTTGGGGAAACAAACAAACAAACAAAAACAGATGGGAAAAAAAAGCAGCAAGTCCCCGACGTTTCCCTCAGGATTATTTTTTAGATTTCATCAATTTCTAAAACATGAAAAAAATTATACAAGTCAAATAATCTACAGGTGTAATTATGATCTGTTTCACAAAGGCAATATTCCAATGTTGTGGTTCATGGCAGTGTTAGGTCAGCTACAGGGAGTCCAAGTGGAAAAGGCAACTGTTATTCTATGAATAATCAGTTTGCTTCTGCAGCACTCTTGTGAGCAAGTTCAAATACAAATACAGTATTTAAACAGAAAAAAAGAAAGAGACACCCACTTCCTACCATAACCTCCAGACAGAAATGATCTGAGGAGGTCTCTTCTCATTTTCACAAAGGTAATTCTGACACAGAGAACATACAATGTGAGTTCCAACCCTTGAGTTCCTAATTCTCTTTCTCCATCTATAGGTATAGACAGCTTCTGGAGGTTATAACACATTTTAAGAGATATAAAGGTCAAGATAACATTCTTTGTCATCTCTGTTTTCTGTTGTCTCTACCTACAAGACTCTTAAAGAGTTTTCCCATTCTATCCACATGCTTAAAAGTCTGAGGAGATAACATTAATGAAGTGCTCTGTTAACTAGAAACTATGAGTTCAAACACCATTTTTAATGTAAGCCATTTACATTATTTAGCAGAGATCTTGATACTAAGCTAGAAAAATTATCATAGTCCAGTTGAGAGTCTAGCATAGAACTGAGCTAAGTAAGCGCAATCCCCTTGAGGCACATTAGAAAGGAAAAAGACTGAAAAAGTTTGTCTGTCCGTTTAAGCCTAAGTATTGAGAGTATAGCCTGAATCAGGGAAACCATCAAACAACATAAGCAATGTGATCACCTGGGATCATTTATCTGCGTGCTGGAAAAGAATTCTAGGGATCATCACCAGCATCATCGCTTTGTGTGCCAGTTCATACTACTTAGCACAAAGTAAGTTATTGAAGGTAATACAAAGTCAGAAATATTTTCTGCCTATAACTAAAGTAAATAGTGATAAGGCAGCACAGACCTCTAGATTTCATTTTGCTTGATTTGTACTTTTAAGTGTTAGAAAGAATAAACCTTATTTTGTCACCTCCATGAGACCATGACTTATTTTGCAAAAACTGCCATAGCTAGCCAGGAAGATTTCATCCTCAAACAAGCCAACATAAATAATACTTCTTTACCTCTCATATATACTAAAAAACATGGAAAGGATATTTTACTGTATTTTATGCAATAAAAGTAAGGGTTTGGTTTTGGTATAAACAAATTTAAAGGAGTCACCTCATAACTACACAGGTTGAATTCATGGACAGTCACAGAAACTAATTTGAGCAAAAGAGTAGCTTGCTCAAAGTAACACAACAAACTGTTGAGAGAAGAACATATATTTGCAAATTTAGTATTCTACACATTAAAGCACTCTACATTCAGAAAGGGGAAACTGGAAACTCACAGTAATTTAAAAGAATGTTTCAATACCGGGTTTTCCCTGATCCTCATTCCCTGAAAATTCCTTTCTCCAGCTTCTAGTCTGCTAATTTTATCCCATCTGTTATTCCAGCCACAAGTCACATTCCTGAATTGAGTCAAAGTGAGGAAAAAAGCAAATTTCTGTTCATTTAATTTTGTGGCAGATGAGGTGAGGAAAAAGTAGAAAGACAATGAAGCAACAAAAAGGGAAGTTAGAAGGGAAAAAAAAAAAGAAACAAAGAATCAGCAGAATCAGCTTGTGTGGTTTAGACAAAACATTAACCCATTAAATGATAACGGCAAAAGAAAAAACCCTTGAGAGTACATAGTACTCAAAGCTTCTATGAACAGGTAGACTAGACAGAACACCTGAATTTTGCTATACAGAACATGTTTGCCCAATGGTCCAGGTTAATTAGCTCCCTATTAGAAAAGCTAAAATGAAGTCTAAAGGTATAATAGATATAAATATTAGCAAAATACATGAACTACATACCCAAATAATGCTCATGAACTAGAATGACTTCACAAAGACCAGATTCTTCAGAATCCAGGGGCAAAATTCCTGAAAGAAAATGGACATAGACCTTTAATTTCAAACAAGCATACATTATAATTAAAACAAGCTCCTAATGAAATTGTTAGTCCCACTTAGTCTGTGATTCAGTTGCCCTCATGGCAGGTTTATGACAGGTTAAGAAAACTTAGGCAAGGTAACAGCCTGTAATCTCCACGGGCACAGTGCACAAGATGGTTCCAGAGGTATTCCAAGCACCATTTTGGGGTCGGGGAGAGAAACAGCAGGGACACTACTGAGTGCTTTTTGCTACTGGCATGTTTAATTTTTGTTAGGTCATGTCTGAACTCATTTCACACTGCTCTCACTCTGATGAGTGCTCCTGTTTCTACTCTGGGCCATGGCTAATGAAGAAGAATATCAAGCTCTCATATTGCAGGTGGGCAGAGACCAAGCCATGCTACAGCTACCCCTACTCTTCCATCCTGATGCCTGTATGTGTATTGTTAGCAAAGGCAGCAAAAAAAGGGACAGAAAGAAGCAGAGGAAGCACAAGCAAGAATGTGTTAAGTGTAAGTTTTAGAAAGCTGAAATAAAGAAGAGGAACTGAAGGAAAAAGAACCACACCATGGAAGACAGAGAAAGCAGATACAGAACAGGCAGAAGAAAAAAAAAAGAAATCCATTCTGGTCATAACAGTGCTTTTTTCCTCCACTGGCCAAAGGAGGAGATTCCTAAACAGTAAATAGGTTCTGGCATCTGATCAGTCTTCTACCCTCTATGCTCAGTAAAACAGTATTTTCTTCCCCCTCCCATCCAAATCTTACACTCCATTTAGACCAAAGCAAGGGCTTTGGCTTAAAACCCTCAGCAAATTTGGCTGCTATTTCCAGTCTTTCACAATTCCCATTAAAAAATGGTGATCCTACAGTGCTTGTACACATCTGCAGATCTCTCAACGGTTTATCTATGGAATAACGATAATAAAAAGTCTAAAGTAGCTGTCTACAGCAACTATTGTGCAATTAGGAAATGAGGCAAGAAGGGCAAGAATCTCAGAACAGAAAACACTTTCTTACAACATCACTATCAATTCTGTCTTTTCATAACTGAAGCAATCCTCTAATCCTTTAATTTAGCATACAAAATATAAACATATATGAAAGAATGTCCCTAAGAAATCTCTCTTCTATCCTAAAGCATCATTCAGATTTTGATGATTAATACAATATCGTATTTCAAAAGTTAAGCAAAATTTCCCTATAGTAAACTCAAATAGCCTTGGCACCTAAACCAGTTTGCATTCTAACACCTTACTATAGGAAAAGCAAAACACAGAATGAATAATAGATGAAGACATTCCTTTTCTTGACAGATGCAAAAGTTCAGGAACAAGTCACATTATCTCCTAACACTCAAGACAACCTTTCAGGGACTCTAAAACCATTCACAAAAACATGACCCTTATACTGAGGGAAAGACATATGGCATCTTAAAGAACAGTGCCCCTTAGTATACCTCATAATGCCTACAGAGGCTCCAACATGAAGTATGGACCTTTATGTATGCTATATACATCAAGCATTTGACACAAGTACAAAATTAGGTTCTTCACCTTACTTGTCAAAATTACTCCATGTAGTGTAGGGCTTTCATTCATTGATTATTTATGTATTCAGCAACGGGGCATATAGAAGAACTGAGAGTGGCTAACCACCAGTAAACCTAAGCATTTACATTTATATTTACGTTCATGTCTCTAAGTATTTGTGGCTAATTTAGCTCTCAGAATATTTTTCCCTGCACTTAATTTAATGAGGAACATGGCATAATTGATTGCTAAAAGATTCTGAGAACAACAAATAAAATGGACTATAACTTTAAAAGGAAGTCAAGAATGTATCTCAAAACAAAAGATTTTTGACTGGTCTAACTGTATTTTTCTTAACCAAAAAAATGATTATGTATAAGAGAATACATTAAATAGACAAAGAAATCTTCTCCTCTGGAAGATTGAAAGCAGGATCAGGAAAACTTAAAAAGTGAAAAACAATTCTTTGTATGATTTTAGAAATGGAATAATGATTTAACACCCCAAGTACTTCAGTGAGCGCAGTACTATTCTTACATGAAAAAGAGTAAAGTCATAAACAAGGACCATATTAGCATATTATTACTGTTAAACTCAGCAATGAGTAGATACCAGGACTATAATTCTTCAATAGAAGGACAGGCTTTATTCTAAAATTCAACTCAAAATATTTTTCTGACAATTATAGATTTTGGGACAGTTTGATGTTATTAAACACACAGGTAACCAGATCATTTAGCAATAGCTCATTTTCTTTTAAATCTGCTCATTCATTAACTATGTATAAACTCACAGCAACAGTAACTGGAAAGTGTGCTTGTTAGGAAAGATTTACCACAATAGAAATATTTCATTCCTATCTTTTGTCTTTATAGCATCTATATTGGATGTATTAAAGATGAACAGCTGTATCAAATAGAATGCTATGAGATTTCAATACTTAAAGAAGTGGGTTTTCTTTCTTTTAGGGCTAAAATATTTAATGCTATTTTCTTCATCCTACTCTTTCCATACATGTAATTCTGACTTCTCTGTGCCTGCATTTGCAAACATTCATTATTCAAGAATAAAAAATGCAGATAACAGAATTTCAGACAAAATGAATCTGTTTCTTTCATGACCCAAGTACAGTTTCCATTCCCTTAATGTCAGATTTACACTGAAGCAGCTCGTTCGATTCAAACTACTTATTCTATATTTGAATTAACATGAATGGAATTGAGTCCTAATTAACAAAAACCCCAACTCTCCCACAGCCACTTACAATGTCACTTAGACCTCTCAGGTCTACTGACATATTTTCTGAGGTTTTTTTTTTCCCCCCTAACGACTTACTGAAATTGTATTCCTTCATCTACAACAGAAGGTGATTGAAACACAAATACTATTTTAAGATATTCAACAGATGCAGCATATGTCAGTAAGATATTTAACCAAATGAGCAATACTGTTCACAATAATGATACTATTCATAGTTCAAAGTTAATTCATATACAAGACCAGAAAATGCCTGGCCATAACTGTTCTGCTTTATTAAACAAAGCAAAGTCACTTCTGTACCCCATAAAATGGAATACTAATTCCTAACTGTAAGGATTACACCTTTTGTGGTGAATAAATAATAATAATCGCACATCTTATTCCATTGGATTTTAGCTAATGATGCAAAAGTTTTACAAGGAAAAGCCACAAAGACCTTCCATGTGATTTTTAACCTGGGAGTGCATTTTTTAACAACAAACAAACAAAATACAGTGATTAACACCTGCCTTTCTGATGGGTTTCTCTGACTATAACATCATAGCAGGATCATAGAGTTGGGGTTGTTCAGCCTGGAGAAGAGAAGGCTCTGGGAAGACCTTATTGCAGCCTGCGATTACTTAAAGGGGGCTTATAAGAATCACAGAATCACTAAGGTTGGAAAGGACCTTCAAGTCATCAAGTCCAACCATTAACCCAACACCACAATGTCCCCTAAACCATATCCCAAAGTGCCATGTCTACA